GATGGAGTACATGCTGTACTTGCAAGCCCATTAAACAACGCCTTAATTGATGAGTGAAGAAAGAAAAAGCCACGGAGAGACGAGGGGAGAAGAGAAAAGAATTGTCAAGGGCAGAAACAACTTGATGAAAGTGTCCTAATCACTGCTCGTCGGCCAGAGGAAGATCAATCACCAATGACAGGGAAGACGGATGTAAAGAAAAAATCTTCCTGGTGATCCTTTTGTTTCCTAAGTTGGCTTTTCACATCATTACTGTGTTTCTCTCAAGTACTCATCTGCAGTCTGGATTTGGGACAGCTGGGATATTTCAGGCTTTTGATAAAACTCCCACGTTGTTGCGGGGATCTCGGGAAAACCGGTGTTGGCAGTCGGTGTGAACAGGTCAATGTGGATTATCTTGCTTGAACAACTTGTTGTATGAACTGGTTCTTTTTTTTTTTATCAGAACCCAGCCTCGACTCTAGCTTTTTAATGTTCACCGTTTCCCGCTGTTAGTCACTTGGTGGCCACAGTGGCTGTTCGGTAAAAGTCCCATTCGATTTAAGTCCACTGTGTTCTGGTTCTAAAGGAATTCTGTGAAAAACGTATCTATTAAAACATGTAAACGAGTGAATCGTGCGTGACTGATTATACAGGCTACCCAACATGAACATTCTCTCATTCACTTTGTGATAAAGTGGTTGCATTGAAAATGACTTCATAACAAAATGCAAATTTGTCTAGCATTCCTCAACTTGCTCCACATTGAAGCAGGACTATAAATCAAGTCGAAATATAGCAGCTTTGCGGCAACATCAGATAAATGCTGTGTACCGCGGGACGTCCGAATTTAGCTCGAGGAGCCAGTGACCATTTAGCGATAAGCTAATCTCCAAGCAAATCTGAGCATGCCCTTCTCTGTAACCTGATAAGGAACAATATAATTAACTTGAAAGTCTAAGCGTTTACAGTACAATAGCACAATAGGAGTAATGAAGAGAGTTTTACCTGCAGGTTTTTTTCTTCCAGCTTTACAGCTTTAATTTACATTAGAATCAGACTTAATTGGTTATTTATTGTGTTACTAATATTGCAACAGCAGATTCTGACAGGTAATACTATACATACTAATTTCCCTGAGATTGTCCTTACTAGCTCAGTGTACAACTGGAAATACTAATGAGAAGCGTGCCGCCCAGGCCTTTGTCATCAAATTATGTACGTGGAAGTACAGTTGTGTGCGATGTGAGTGTGCGTCCTCCTGGTGTGATGTGAATAATGGTGTCTCATACTTGTGATGGACCAAACTGCACAATTCCCTGTTTGAGCGTGAAAAAGGGGCATATCTGTGGAGCGTCTGAGGGACTGAAAAAGACCTGACAATCAACACTGCCCTGCCCATTCCGACATGTTCACCCTGATCAGGAAAACAAACTATACAATGAAAACTTAATTAGAATGCGGCGTGTGGGGTGTTTGAAGCTGCTTTAAGAAAAACTAATTTTCTCTGTCTTGTCATTTCACATCTCCAGCTAACAGGGAACAGTCTATCATTTCTGGGAGCAGTTTGTTGGATGTGGCAGGGCAGTAGAGCTAATTTATGGGTCAATATAAACTTCCATCACCACAGACTAAAGCTGAAAGCTGTGCTGGCCTGCGGCAGAGATGAAGAGCAGACCCTCTATATGGTAGACACAGAACATATAGGAGAAAAAGACTCATGCAGGGTATCACTGAAGGAGATTATAAAGAGGCTACAAATATATAAACATATATCATACGTGTTCATATTTACTTGGAAAGAGAATTTAAAGAGCTTTTTACCAAAACCGTGCTGACTATAATAAAACCATCTTCAAGAGCATGGCATTAAATGCCTCGCTGCCAACAGTAATTACAATACTGGAATCACTCCTGGGTGGCGCTGGGTGAAAAGACAATGTAACAGGACGATAGTTTAGGTAATTAGTGCCGGCCATTAAAAGCACATTTCACCTTACTAACAAGATGCGGTAAATTTGTCAGATCTGAACCGCAGACAGAATACAGAACAACCACTGCAGGAGGAAGGGGGCTGATGATGGAGGGGAGAGTCAGATTACTGGTGTTATGGATCAACTAAGTTTCTGTTAGCTGATGATTTTCACCGCGAATGCACGGTGGATGCCCTCTGGAAACAGCAGATGTTGGAAAAGTAGGATAATGTTTATCCGTCATTGTAAATGTACCGTCATTGTCTTTTTCATTAAAATTTCAATACGCACCCATCTGGCTTCGTTTGAAGGCTTAGACGTGAGTGAAACAATGAGTATTCTCTAACATTTTGCGTGTTTTAAGCCCTATACTCTATACTATATCCGTATTTATCATTTGGCAACCTTCTAATAGCCCTTTTCACTGAAGACATTTTGACATGTCTTAGGGGAGCACAGTTGTAATTAATAACCTTAATTAAGGCCGCATTCCAGTTTGATGATCCAGTGCTGCATCCCAGTATTGTGAATGCTGGCTCACTTGCATGGCTCAATGAATTAATGTTAATAATTACACCTGTGCTTTCCTAACTATGACAAGTGGAAATGTCTTGAAGAATGTCTATTACAGCCCCTATCCTATGTCAATCAAAAAATGTTTTATTCCAAATCACTTTTATTCTATTTCCTCCATTATAGAGGTTTAAGCAGTAGGTAGATCATCATTTATTTCATCTTCAGACAAAACCAAGACAACTGCACTATGTTTTTTTTAGCATAGTAATGGTTTACACTAGGATTTCTAAGCAGATTTATGAACGTTTATCAATGGATGGACATTGCAGATAATAAAGTGCAAGTCAGATTGAATCTACAAATATGTGAATCATGTCTTTGCATTCAGATCTAGCAGCTTAAGCACCTTAATTGCCCCCATGAGTTGTGTGTCGAAGCCACTGCTGCTGCAAGGGCTGCCTGTTGGGAAGCACGCCAAGTCAGCAGGTAAAAATACAATAACTAGCTTCTTGTTGCACCGACAAGCACCTGTCCCTTTCACCTCATGCCGTACCTTCATACTTTGATTAACAGATACTGCTCACGTCTTTCAGCACTAGACAGAGTTAGATAGAGTTCACTTCAATCCTCAGTTTGGTGTCATCTTTGACCTCTGCTACTGTGGAGTGTCAATAAATTAACACAATTTGTAAGCAGCACTGTGTTTAAGTCTGTTTCAGGCGGTTTACTGTATGTATTTACACACACTCACGTTTAATTGAGTGTAAACATTTTCTATCACATATAGACTAAAATCAATTAAATTACACCTCTGCTAAATCTCCTAGTTTTACTGCTGATGAATGGCGTTTTCATGACAGCTCCGTTGTAAAACTTGTATCACGGGCGATACTGAGGTGCGCCGAACAGGCTAACTGTGACATATGCAGCAATGTTCAATAATTCTGGCACCGAACTACCTCATTTCAATTCTAGCTGGCAAGGACAATAATTTTTCACAGGGTGGCTGCGGGTAAATCCACCCCACCCCCCCAATGTTTTGACAGCGCACAGCTCTCCGCTCTGATATCTCGAGGTTTATTTCATTTACCACAGAGGCCTAACAAATGAAATTGATGATGTAAACACAGACGTGCTGCTGCAAAAACTGATTTAGAGCCTATGTCAATAACCACAGAGAGAGAATGAACGCAGGAAGAGATTTAAATTTTAAATTCTCTTTACTCATCCACCTCTGCAAACAAAAACTAATTGAGTTCAATAAGAACCCCGTCTTCAACGCTCCCAACTCATCAGCTGACACGAACAACACCAACACGTAGTGAGCAAAACAAAATCAGGCCTGAAAACCTGCAAAACGTTCTTCTCCGTCTGTATTTTAAGCTGTCTAAGGAGAAATAGAAAAAAAATATACTGAAAATAATTTATTTAAAAGACATATATTTTTAATTAGTTCCTCGTTTAAAGACTGTAACTGTGTCCCAGTGGTTCCTCTACCACTGAGCAAGTGTAATGAGTCCTGCTGCCTTTGAGGGCTTGTAACAATGAAAGAACCAGTAATTAGTCTGAGTTTCACTGCAAAGTTTCAGTATCCCACGTTGGCCACTAAAGCTCCCCAATGAGTTTATCGATTGTTTTGCTTTTAAGGGTGTAAAAGCCTCTTTGTGCGGTTTTACTGAAGGGATTGGTGTGAAAACTGGCCAAAACCCAAGTAGGACAATGATGATGGTGATGGTGGTAATGAAGGACTTTCCAGGCTCCCCATGAGGCCACACTAGTGCGGTCTCCAAGTGCATTTAAATATATTTTCAATTTGTCATTGTTCGCAGCATTGTGTTGTATTAGAGAAAACCCTGCTCGGTAAAGGTCTGCTGCGTCTTTGTTTTGGTTATTCCTCTATTGTCGGCAAGACATGGAAGGAAGGAAGGAAGGAAGGAAGCAGCAAGGAAGGAAAAGAATGGCAAGCAAACCAAAATACACGGAGAGCAAGTTTTTGAAGTAGCTGATCAATAAGTGCAGCCTCAGCCAGAAAAGGAAGTCAAAGAAAAGAAAATGAGAAGAGAGAAAGAAAGCAGGGACACAAACACACTTCTGACCCTTGGACAGAGGCAGAGAGCAGAATGAAGAAAATGTGATGTAGTGACCAATGTGTGTACAGCCTTGGACATGGACAAAGCTGAATAACAAGCGTAGTGAGCGCATGAGCGGCACGACCTTGCAAAATAAGAGATTGATATGGAGAGAAAAAAAGGTGATTGTGCCTGCAGCCTTGAACAAAAGGAGGAAATGAATGTTGCTTGAAAGTTGTCAAGACATTAAGATAGAAGTGGAAAATCCTCTGCTTAGAGTAAAAAGACAAAAACGGAGAAAGCAAACAAGAAACTAAGAACGGGAAAGATAAACAAACAATCTGCAACAGAATTAGACACAGATAGTAAGGCGGACAGAAATACAGACACCTACTGACCTGTGTGTGTGTGTGTGTGTGTGTGGCATTTAAGAGACGGATATACAGACAGACAGGGAACTGACCTGTGAGCACGGCCTTGGCGGAGGGTTCAGCCAGGTCCAGGGCGGACTTGCCATCGGTGTTGCGGATGTTGGGGTCGGCTCCATGCTGCAGTAACACTGTACAACAACAGGGCAGACACAGACAGTAGCTGAGCTCCTGGACTGACATGCAAACTCCCCGACACACACCTCCTCCTAGTCCTCCACCTCCCCCTGCTCCTCCTCCTGCCGCTGAACCACATCTTCCTCCATAAACTGCTCTCCCCGGACCTCCTCCTTTTTCTCCCCCTTGCTCCTCTGCTATCCCTCCTGTTCCTCCTCCTCTTGTTGTGTCTCCTGGCTCTCCTGGCAGCCCTTCTTCACGTCCTGCTTCACATTTCTCTCCTCCTCCTCCACCTCCACCTCCTCCACCTCCTCCTCCTCCACCCTCACCTCCTGCTTGGCTCCTTCCTTTCTGTTTTGCTTAGCGCTGCTCCCTCGGCTGCCCCTGGCTGCCCCTGCCCTGCGAGCCATGCTTGCTGATGCTAAACAGACATTGCCACAACAAGAGCAGCGAGAAGCTTACGCGTTTACAGCACACGCCGGGAGAAACAGCGGCCTTTACACGCTGGCTACGTGACCAGCTGCAGAAAACATCCATCACACTTCCACGGAGGGGGAAGGACTACGCTGAGAAGATAAATTAATAATGATGAGGAAAAGAGAGAGACGTGGCTTACAGCTAAATCGGGGTAGGAGCAGAGCAGCACGCGACAAGGCGGGCAGGCGGTGTGAGTGGAGAGACTCTCGCTCTCTCCGACTGACTGGAGGCGATGCAGCGGAGAGCGGGATGAGAGGGGGGCGGATCGAGGAGGAAAGGAGGCTGCGAGTCAGGGAGGATGGGAGAGGTAGAGGACAAAAAGACAGGAGGGAGAGCAAAGCAAGAGTGTTGTGTGCGTGTGTGTGTTTGTGAGAGGGAGCGGGGAGTAGTAAAAACAGAGGAGAGGAGAAGGAAGGAGAAAGGAGAGGACAGAAGAAGGAAGAGGAGAAAAGGGCAGGATGAAAGGAAAGGATAGGTAAGGGCAGGGGAGGAGAAGAGAGGAGAGGAGAGGAGAGGAGAGGAGAAGAGAGAGAGTCATGCGACTACAGAAGAGCTATGAGCTGAATAACAAACTCTGCCTGCGCTCAGTTTTTTGTAAATAAGCTCTTCTGAGGGGGCTAATGTCAATACTCTCACTGCCTTCCTCTCTATCTCACTCCCCGCTGTTGTGATTGCTAAGCAGTCCCCGGTGCACATGCCCTTTGACTTGTGTACACTTCAAAGCACCCAGCTCAACCCCCGGCAAGAGAGGAGGGTAGAAGAGCGGAGGAAACGGGGCTTGTGTCTGCATGCATGTATGTGCACGTGTATGTGCCTCTTCCCCGGCACTGACGCAGACCTTAGTCACCCACTCACCCCTCAACAAAAATATGATTTAGCTCTGCACCAATCCCCCCCCACACACACACACACACACAGATACTGATACCCAATGGTGAGAGAATAAAGATATGCCCATATTGAGGCAGAGAGAGAAATGACAGATGCACAGCCACACAGAAACCCATATACAGGTTAGAGTAGTTCACCCAAGTCTGAACGCTTGTTTCTGATTCATTTGCAATTGTCAACGTCTAAATTTGTCTTTTCATTTTTGTCTCTAATGGGCATGTCTGGCCTGTAATACCTGCAAAAGCCCTCTCCGAGCAACCTTAATCCCTTTTTTGGACAGGATTAGTTTTGAGGGCAATGTCAGATTTGGAACAGTTATCTTATGACAATCTGCAATGTCTATGCCCAATCAGTAACTAAATTGCGATAAACTGACAGATATCGAGGTTTACCTGCGGTGTGGTGTTCAAATGGGAAGCATAAAAAGCAACAGACAGCAACGGTCAAACAGCACACAGGTGAAATGTTATGTTACACTTCCTGCAGCTGCTTCACAGTAAAAGCCTTTTAGTTGGTCTAAACATTTGTTTTTGCCAGTTTTACACCAGTGAACATGAAAGAACTGGAAGCAAAACTGACAAAGCAGAAATGCAGAGCAACAAATAAATGAAAAAAACAGACAGGGTGTCTCCACCAAATGCAGTGCTGACACTATCGAACACGATTCAACAGTGCATTTGATATTAGAATTTGAACAGAATAATTTTTTCAGTCATTCAGTCATCCAGGAAAACATTTTGTGCTTTCAGCCTCTCAAATGTGACACAGTTTTCTCTATTTGACAGCATTGTAAATTTAATATCTTTGGGTTCTGGGTAAAACAAGCAAAAGGAAGACAACACCTGGGGGCCCTGAGACATTTTATAGAATAAATGTTTCATTAAAAGAAGTCTTGAATCAGTAATTAAAATACTCATTAGTTTCAGCCTTAACACGATGCACTGGAGCCATTTTACCCAAAGAAACTGCCTTAACGTGCTGCGTAACATACGTCTTCATTTGAAACCCCTGGGCAAGGCATCTCGCAATCCAATTCAATTCAACCAAATAATAAACAGTGGATCCATAATAAGACACAAAGCAGGGGTCTGAGGGTATAAGGGCACAGATATTCCAGAAATCTATTTATATAACCCTTGTCAAGTGATTACAAAGTGCTTTACGAAAACCAAATAACATCCATCCATCTCATCAACCTTACTGACATCGGTGAAACTCTAAATCAAATGCTGGCTAGGAAAGGGCGGAGTCTCACACGATCATAACAATAACCAGTAAAATGACGTGAAGTGAGGACACAGTGAAACCATGCACTGAACTGCCGTTTTGGAGGCGGCCGTTTTTAAACTCAGAGCCAATCGTATGGCTGTTCTAGGATTTCCAGGATCTTCTTATCCCAAGTTTGTTGATGAGAGATTAATTTCTTACTCAAGTTGTCTGAGCACCAGGGAAGAGGACGGAGCGTCCATCATGCTGAGCTGAAGTTACAGTCGAATCAGAGTTGATTTGACTCTCATTCTGCTGCCAAATCTCTAACCTGGCAGGGTGACAGGATAGCAGAAATTCTCTCCAACAAACAAGCCGCTAGAGGTCAGGTGACTTTTGTTTACGTGCCTTGGTTTGCTTGTAACGACGGACGGCAAACTAATTATAAAATGCAACAAAGTCAGCCTTAAAAACAAACCTTTAACCTTTAATGCTGTTTGACAAAAACTAAGGCATTTTTGTGATTGCGTAGGTCCATCAGAGTGGTTGGACCTCACCACATTGCTCAGGTACTTGTTTAAAAGCTTTACAGGCTGGATGCACACCTACAGCTGTGGACTACCTGAGTACAGATTTCCAGCCCTCAAAGCAAAATGATGATGCTGTTGGACATTACTGTGCTATTATCATTATCGCTGTGCTACACTACTTGATTTGTGAAGACCTGCTTCAAAAATAGATATAGAAAAAACAAGACCTTTTTTCTGCTGCTCTTAATGGTAAGCCACAGACAGCATGGATGACTGACGACAGACACATTCTATTACCTCAATTTCAGTCTGTCATTCACTTTTGTTGATAAATCAATAACAGGTCTCAGGCCGAACAACAGGGTGAAGTTTGTGCACGGTGATCACCAGAGCTCCACAAAGCCCTCTGCTGCTATGCAGTCATTCAGGGCCCAGACACTCTGCACCAGCTGCTGGAGAAATAAAAATGACTGAAGCAACTTTCTCTCCGTGTTGTTTTCTCGGCACTCCAGACCCACGCTGGCAGCAAGGTGACGCCGACCATCACTGCAGTTATTACTACTCACACTGAGTGATGTTTTCCCATTAAGATCATGAAGATTATCCTACGACTTACTGCTCAGACACTCTTCGTGCTGTGGCGTGCCATGTCTACTTCAGATTTTCCTCAGGGATCAGTAATGCAGCCTCTCTATTATTCAATTCACCTTTAAAGATCAACTGCTGCCGCGGAAGTCCTCACTGAACTGAGCCCGTGGTGCTGTTCTATACATTTTAAATGAAAAGTACAATGTTGGTGGGAGCTCATATATTATACGATGGAGAAATCAATGCTCTTTTGTCTCCTCTTTGGGCTTAAAAATAAGCAGTAACACGGTAAGTGCAATTTATAGGTTATTTGCTGCTTTATGCTTAATGGAAAATAATAGCGTATTGTCTGTGGGTGGTTTATTATAGTTTCTAAAATTACTGTGCCATTACACAGAACTCCAGGTTGTGACTTTGGAGGGACACAAACACCATACTTCAAAACCAACAGAGAATTTAAAAGGATAACTCAAAAAGGACGCTCACCTTGAAATCAGACATCAGTTATTTATACATATTCATGTTTACATAGCCTACAATATTGGGAGCATGTGTTTTTGTGCTTACCTATACAGACATCTATCTTGCCCTTGATGGCAGCTTCATGGAGTGGTGTGTAGTTCCAGTTGTCTCGAGCATTAGGGTCGGCCCCCTGACACAGCAACAAGGACACTACCTGAAAACAACACACACACACACACACACACACACACAACATCTGTTACATCGCTTGCTCTTTATATGGTGAAAACAACAACAATGTGCCTGTCAATCTCACACTCTTAACCTTTTCACTTGGGGGGGAAAAGATGCCCAGACGCTCCTTTACTTCAGGCAGTGACTCGTTGGCAACATTAAGGGTTTAATCCTCCATTTTACGGAAGAGAGATTTAACAATATGAGAGCGGGGCCCCTACACCGAACATTGCACTGCCACGCACTACACTTTAGGTTAAAGTGTGCAAATCACACTTAAAAAATAAATAAATAAAAAAGATATAAAAGCAAACAAACACTTTCAGAGGTTTGGACAGTGTTTATTCTCATCACAATGCTAAACATCACTGTGATCCTGCAGTTGCATTAGCATGGCACTTTTTTTCTGACAAGGTGGCAAAGTGCTCTCCTGGAAAGCTCTAAAAGCCTCTAAAACATCTAAAAACAACTGTAAACATTGCATTGATCACCGTGGTTAATGGCTGAGAGGACAAAAAGCATTAGCACACACATCTGTCACGGATATTCCAAAACATCATCACGCACAGGCATGACCAGATTACTGAGGGTGCAGTGAGAGTGAATATTCAGGTTTCCTCAATGTGATCTTTAAGGCTGACTGTGCACATTATGGTGTACAGGCAAACAGAGCTGATTTACATGTTTGGACAGAATCATCTTTTACTCTCATAGCAACAATGGTTGCAGTTTACTCCAAACATCCATTCTGGATTTTACCACCACACCAATTCTTGAGCACAAAACTGCCTCCCCAACTTTTTTTTATCACCAGCAATCATTTAACGGTTTGGCAAGTTGCAAACACAAATGCTTTCTCGTTACCAGCGGTGGAATAAGTGTTCAGATCCTTTAGTTAAGTTAAAGTAGTAGTACCACACTGTGAAATGCTCCACTAGAAGTCCTGCATTTAAAACCTCAGTTAAGTTAATGTATTACAAGCAAAATGTACTTAAAGTATTAAAAGTACTCATTCTGCAGTAAAATGGCCCGTCAGTGTTTTAGTATTATATATGAGGTTTTTCAATTAATATTACTGCTGCATGAATGTGTATGGTGCATTTCACTGCTCTAGATGTTTATGGTTGAGGCTCATTTTAGGTTATAAGTATGTTTTTATTAGTGTACAATCGCCTGAATATAAGAATTGTTGTGTTTTTGTTAGTAAAATATCTGTAAAAATGTACTATTTTTTATAGATAGATATTTTGAATTGATCTTACTGAAGTATTGTGCATCAACGCATCATATTCTATAAGATAGTCATTTGTTTGTGGCGTTGTCGTCTTGTGAGAAGCAAGTATCTATAAGAAGTCAATTTTTCATGTTTTCAAACAGCCCTGTTTTTCAGCTTTGTGATAATGCATTTTAGAGCTAATCCAAGAGGGTTTTGAATTGTTAATCCGTCAGTTTATCAGGAAAAGTTCAAATTCAAAATCATAAAATTTGGAGATACATGGTTTTCACACACAAATGTAGTTAAAAAGTACAATATTTCCATCTGAGATTTAGTGGAGTACACGTGTAATGTTTCACAAAATGCAAATAAAACGGGCAAAATAAACATCACTAACAAAAAATATAACAACACACTAGTACTTGTGACCTCTCACCTCGGAGTGACCAAACGAGCAGGCGTTGTGAAGCGGGATCAGACCCCCGTCATCCCTTGCGTGCACATTAGCACCCGTCTGAAGCAAATGGTCCACCACATCTTTCCGGCCAAAACCTGAGAAAAGATCAGAGAGAGTTGAAAGTGGAGAGAGTAGCGGGAACAAGGAGATCAATGTCACAACAACAATGAAGGAAACAGTAGAAACTCTTGCACAAAACTTTTTGGTGCAGGACTGAAACAAATCGCCAACTCTGACAGAACATCTTAGAGAGGTTTCATGATATTCTGTAAATTTATGCCGTTCATTTTATGCCCAGCTTCACTTCTGTTGTATCTGTTTTCAGTTTGATTCCTGCTTCACATTAATAATTAACACCTAACTCTAAATTGCCTTTTTTTTTCTATTTATACATTTTGTTCTGTGAGGCACTTGTAGCAGCTGTTTGGGTGAGTGCTGCACAAGGAAGGCTTGTTATGTCTTCACTACAAACGTGCAGTGAGACTCGAGAGAATCTGTTCTTGTTCAGGCTGCTGAAGGGTAGGAAGGCCTGAGATGTAAAACAGCTGTGCATTTTTTTTATCTTTCTGTCTGCACTGATGAAACTGAATACAGTCAAGTCTGGAACAAGTGAAGATGAGCACTCTGCATAAGTGTGTGTTTGGTCCGCAAACAGGTAGAGATTACAGATTAAAATGAAATCTCACTTTTCGTTGAGATGATGCAGCAGTTTTTAGCTTTAAATATAGCAAGTGTTAAGAAGCATGCGTAGATAAATCTGAGTTGAAACCACCTTGGTTGTTTTGTTGCCGGCATGTCTGCAAACCTTTTGAGGCAGTTTTGGCAAATTTCATCAGATTAATTAATAATTAATAACATTCACCTGCCACAGACCATGACACACAGGTGTGAGGTCACACTGATTACTTGTGCATTTTTCACACATTTGTTTGCCAGGTACCTTATTCTAAAGAGAATACCACAGACTTTAATACAAGACCAGTTTTTTCTTATTTTAGCAATATACACATCACATATGTCACTGCTGTATTGTTTTTTTTCTGTTGGCATTGCATCCATCTCTTAACACAAACAACAACTGTCCAACTACTGTGCAATGTTTGACTCACACACTGAAATGTCAGCCCTGTCCCCTGATTTAAGGTTATTTCTAGGTGTTTAAGACAATTTCCGAATAAAACATTTTCCAACTACTACTGCATATAATAAGTGAATATTCTTTAAAAAAAAAAAAAGAGGAACACAATTAGAGTTACAACAAGGTTAGTAACTCAAACATTGGCACTGCTCTACCCATACACATTGTGTGGTGTCCTTTTGAACTTTCTTATTTTGGATTTCTGGTGTGACTGAGGCCTAAAACATTGGATGGCACATTTAACTTATAGTTTCTGAACAAAGTACTCCTCAAAGCTTTCCTAAGCCAATATCTTGTTATCATTAACATGATTTCATTACACGGGCACCCTGGTTTAATAACACTTTCAACAACTGAGAAAGAGAGATGCTGAATTGATTCTGACAATAGAAATAAAGATTACATTTCTATTTGACAGAAGTGGGCCCAACTAGGTGAATGTTATACATCAAATGTTTCTGAAAATGAACTGGGCTGTGTTCTTTGTTGGGGCATTGCAGCTTCCCTGTGCTGTCTGCCATCTAGCATCCTGATAAGTGTTGTTGTGGTAAAACAACAGCTAGCGGCTCTGCTTATAGCCAACATTAGCTCGCTACTTTCTGCTCACTCCCACCCCCTGAAAGCAGCCCCCCCAGCTGGACTACCAGTCTGCAGAGACTTTAGCTTGTTTGAAAGGTGATTTTCGTTGTGGTTACTGTTACCTGCAGCGAAATGCAGGGGTGTAGATTTGCGTCCTGCCATGTCTTTAGCGTTCACATTCACCGCATCCACGAGTTTCTTCACCCTAGAAACATCCCCGTTTCGACAGGCTTCGAACAGCTCCCTGAACGCCCCGTTTGCACCTCCACCACCGCTGCTGCTGCTGCTACTGCTGCTGCTGCTACCCGGGTTACCGCTGCCCGAGTCGGGCGTAGAGCCGGGGCTGGTCCCGCTACCCTCGGTGGTGGTCGGCGAGCTAGCGCTGCTGCTAGTGCTGCTGCTGCTGCTGGCGGTGAGGGCCAGAGCTGGGGAGGTGGTGGTGGGAGAGGCAGGGGTTACCTCACCGTCAGCTGCGTTCTCCATTGCGCCTCTTTGGGGAAGCGGGGTGACATCGTCGGTGGGTGCCGGCGGAGAGCCAGAGGGGCGCCGCGGGGCGGGGAGGACAGCAGGGAGTTTGGCTGCTGCTGCTGCTGAGAGGTGCGACGAGGCGTCGCCATTTTCACAACACAACAGTCCCCACTAGCAACAAAAACACTGCTGACAATTTCCTGCCCAGGAAAGCCAAACTTCCGCTCAGGCTTACTGGGATAACGTTTACTGGACTGTATCTCCAAAAATGTGTAATAAAGCTTACCAGGACAGTTTAATTAGTGAGTCCTTATGCAGGATTACAGACTAAATACCTTATAAAATGTGGTTTCTTGCCGGTTTACACAGTTTTGTTTAGAACAAATTAATTGGCAGACTATACATTTTAGATATTTGACTTTGTTGAGTGAATATTACATTTGTCTTTTAGCCATTAAGTCTACTATAGCTACAAATCAACAAGGCCACAAAATATACACAAAAAAATATATTTATTTTTTTCGCCCCATGTGACGTAGTGGAGTGATGTCAGCTAGTCTGGCTCAATACAATATCGCCATCTAGTGGAGACCATTGGTAATACATTCAGAACACAGGACCAACAGATTTTCTACATTTATGGGCTACAACATTACACAACAGGTACATGGCAGACAAATTACACAATATTTGGCATTAGACCACTGTATGATGCATTCATATAAAAATACATATGCAAGTCAAACTTTCTGGTTATCTTTGTGCACTTAAAATTCAATTTAAAAGTATGCTCATTGTTATGAAATGTTATTTCATCCTCCTTCTCTTTACAAAAACATTTATTTTAGGTCATTTTGTATTTCAAAATGTCCTTTTCCAGATAATGCCCTTAAAAGATGTACTCCATTTTAACTCGTGTAAATATTCAATTTTCATTCAGAATTGGAAATGATTATTTATAGCTGCATTGAATGCTTGGCAGCAGCCACATTTTACATCTTTGCATGTTCAGATGACTAAAATACTTTAGGTTACACTAGCAATAATTGAAATTAATTAATTTAAAGTGTATCTTGAACTTGAACACTGTCTGCATTAATCCTACAATCAGGAATAAATTACATAATAACCATATTTCTACATTTAAACAGTAGCTCCCCCAACACTTGTACCTGTTGTTACAATAACTCCAACTTCATTACTACTGCTGCAACTACTGCAGACTATTACTTCTAATGTTAATGCTTCTGCTAAGGCTGCCATCACTGCTATAACTGAGTGCACTGCTATTACTGCTGCTGCTGCCTCTAATGCTGCTGCTGGTCCAAAACAGATGACTGAGCTATACTGAAGCCCTTACTTCCTACTTTCTCGACAATTGATATTTGGTAGCACCATTAATATTAGTAGGAGCCTCATGGGGTTCTCTATGGTTCTGAAACAAGTTCAGAATACATCCATACTGCCCAAGCCACTAGGTGACATTAATTTTATTAATTGTAATTTATAGACTACCTGCTGTAAACTCAGTTTTCATAGACACTGCCTCTTTCCCCACCTGGACTATTTCAGTGGTGGAGAGCTGAACAACAGGGATAATGTATAGGTGTTAATTACACATTTACTCACATAGACCACAATATGATTATCATCTTTTTAAATAATCATCTCCCAAGGAGGTTACCATGGAGGTGAGATTGAGGAGCAGGGCAGACTTGAAAACTTGCAATAATTGCACAGGGCCGGGATTGGTCTCAGAGCGAGTAACCACTCATCACACAATCCCTGGCCCAGGTTCACTTTCAGACATATGTCACATTTCTGTCAGTATTTACACAATCTGGCTTGTAAAGCTGTGACAGGGCTTTATAGACTGTTTTAGACAGGTGTTCCCAGTTGGCAATGATGATCCACTGCCCCACCCACCAGGTACCTGAAAAATGGTAAAATAGATTGGCTGGGAAGGGCAGGGGTTATCACAACTGCTATTTGTGGTGGCCTTGCCTCGCCACGCTCCACAAACTGCCAGGATAAGACCCTTGGTTGGTCTCTCATGGTGACAACATCTAAAATAAAGTTATGTTAATACAGATAGGCTACCATTTCTACAGCACAAGGGGTTGTATTTAGCCATTTTCTGCAACTTTATTATTCTACAATACATTTCAGAGGCAATATTGTCTTTTTTTACACTATGCTTATTTAACAGCTGTAGTTACTTTTTCTGAATAAGAATTTATGTTAAAAAAAAGAAGAAAAAAATGTATGACATAAAATAGAATACATTGTTAAAGATTAAACATGTGATTCACTACAGTTTTGGCTTGTGGCTCCTTAAAAAGAAAAAAGCTGTGTGACATTGGGCTCTCATCACTTATTCCAGTGAAAAGTCATCACCGTCATGGGCTTACAAGACAAATAAAAATACAGCTGCAGTGATCAGACATTTGATTCCATTACAAAATTACACATTAGATTATTATACGGCTCGTTCTTAAACAAAATATTCTGCCCTCTCTCCAAAACTTTTAACAAAACGTTTGCTACAGGAAAGGACACGTAATGTTCTGTAATGATCTTTTTAACAATGAAATCATCATTAAATGTCAGTTATTTAAACTGAAGTCTTATTTAGCTGAAGTGACACTAACACATGGTCAGTTCGGGCTTTGAGCTTCAAAGGTTAACTAGTTACATAACTACAGCTTGCATCGAATAAACCTGGTTCAAAAGACTTACAAAAGGGTTTTACAGGATTGCTTTTGTCTTGTCTTTTTTGTTAAGCCAGGTATTATTTACATTAAATTCAAGAATCTGAACTTTGGACTCTTGACTAACAGAAAGTTAATGCTAGCTAATTTCAGAACCAAGGAGGCTTCAAATAAAAAGATAAAAGATAACCTTGAAAGGCTTTAAAATGATCTTAACTGATTAATTCTCTTACCTTTTCCATGCTAAAACAAAACTAGCCACTAGCTAGTAAGCGACTTATACTTTCAGTTTGTAGTTGATGGATGTCCACCACTGACCATTATATATAAATGATGTAATAAATGTATGTATTGTATACATTATTTAATAAATAAATAAATAATAAATATGTTCACTATGATGTTCACACGTTAATTAATGCTAGTGAGTTTTAGAGGTACTTCTTCCTCCTTTCCAGTATTTGTTCAACACTAATCTGGTCTGTAGCATGTACACACCTCAGACTAGAAATACACACATCAAAGTGGAATGATCTTCTCTCAGCAGTAAAGTGAAATGGCATATTTCCAAACTTTTTCACAGCAGCCATTTTGACATGAAACAGTAGGGTAAACACAGCTGTTACCAGTAATAAAGGTTCTTTATAATCAGTTCAAACAGAGGCATGGATTAGTGTCAAGGCTTGGGGGGTAATGGATTACATGTAGGTTAACTGAGTTATGTAATCAGGATACAAAAAAGGGCGACTAATCCGTTACAGTTACAGGGAAAAAATATGTAATCAGATTACAGTTACATTCAAAAAAATAGGATAATAGGATTATTTAGCAGGATTACAATTTCAAAATATATCAATTCTTGTTTTCATTGCATATAGGTAATCCAAAAGTACAGAAGTAATCAAATTAGGTTACTTTAATATTGTGATAGCCTACTTGGATTAGGTTACTGACTACAATTTTTAACAGGTACTTATTTATAATATGATATAATAATTGTATCAGATTACATTTTTAAAGTAATCCTCCCAACCCTGTTAGTTAGTAACAGCTGTGTTGACCCTACTATTTCATGTCAAAATGGCTACTGTGAAAAAGGTCTCACTTTAAGTCCCAAGAGGTATGCTGCTTGCATGGATCTATTGTTAGGTTTATGCTTAGCATCCATATCCATTGATGATGCCTGTTTGTTACTTGAAGAAGCTTAATAAAGTTTAAGAAGCAAAACAAAGGTATTTATCATCTGATAAAATAATAATAATCATCATCTGAAAAGAGGTGGTATTCCATATTCAAGCTCTCTCAAGCATCAAGGCAAAGCCAAGTATGTTCACTGCCCGTATTATTTGATATTATTTGATAGTTAAGATGGACCAAATAACATTTTTCTGGTCCCCTTTGCCCTGTTTCAGCCACAGATACTGTATCTGTGTCTGTCTGTCTGTCTGTCTACCTGCAGTATAAGGCCACAAGGTGGAAGCATAGATCACCTCTTCCTCTCTCTCTGTCTCTCTCTCTCTCCATCCCAATGGCACGAGCCGTCCAGTGTCACTCACTCGCAGCTCGTGCAGATCGGACTGTTCGGGCATGCGGCATTTGTTTCCTTTCCTCAGTTCAGTTCAGTGGGAGCATGAGCGCCGCCAGCACGCACTGAGGCGCCCGGCTCGGAGCAACGGAGGCGCGGAGCCCGGCACAGGTGAGCGTGTGGATGTGACATTTCTTTCTAAAAGTTTGACAGACAGAAAGAAGAAAGGTGGAAGAGATGTTTGTTAGAGGACTTTCAGCTTGTGGAGTTGAACTGGAAACACACCGCTACTGTCCAGGTGATATGACTTAGAATAAGTAAAATTGAGAGCTCTATTTTATCTGATTAGTTGCTTGTAAGAGACAGTTCACAGTGTTTTATGACCAACCAAGAGTCCTGTATTCTTCTAATCACATGTAGTTATTGAAGGTATAGTTATTGGCAAATGGTGGCAAGTCTGAGTGGCGAATTCATCTACTCTTCTTCCTCCTCCTTGTTTAATATGCAGTCATCAAATGAGGTGCACTTCATTTTGGCTCATTTTAAAATTATCTTTAATTTATAGACTCAGTCATAGGCCTAATCACTACTACTTTTAATGCAGTTTATGGATTACTATTTTCATGTTTATATACAGTTTCATGAATTACTATATATTTATAAATATATATCAACCTACTTGTAAACAGAAAGACCATTGAATTTGATGGTCATTATAATTAAGCTTACTTGTTTTTTCCTTGGGACATCAGTTTTATACTATCAGTCTGTAAACTATGAATTTACCTATTCCATTAGCCGATGCCCCTAATTTATCCACTTGTAGTGGTACTATTTCTTATTTTCTTTAAGTAACAACACATGTAACAGTACAGTTGCTGAGACTTCAATACAGACAGGTATATTTAAAACATTTTAGATACAATTAATTCAGCTTTTAGAAAAAAAAGTTTATCTGTCAATGGGCTATACAGGCAGAAAGCATAAACACAGGTACAAATTGTAAGATGATTAACCCCAGAATAAGTGCTTAATCTTTAGTGGAACTTTAAGTCTTATCACTTGTTTTATGGGAGGTGTGTCCATCCGAGAGTACGGATGGGTAAACATACAGTAGATGTGCGTAATAGGTGAAAAAACAGCAGTTCTGAGGGGGACAAGAGGAGGAGAGTTCAGGGGCATCTGCCCAGTCACTCCTGGGTCTGTTGTTCCACAGAAAGAGTTTGTTTCACGTCAGCGTCTCCAAAAATGTTTGCTGGCTGTCAGGACACATGAAAAGGTCTGCCGTTGTTCAATTATCCCGAACACAGTGAACTGATTGCTGACATTTCATCGCAGACCTGCTCGCGTTTCTCCTTCCTTGTTACTTTATTACAGTGTAGTTTGTCTATTGGAACCTGACCACCACCCCCCACCCCTCCTACACACACACACACACACACACAGACAGACACCACACACACACACACCTAATACTGTATCCACAAAGAAGCTCATGTATACACACACGCCATGTATTGATGCAAATGCACTTCAGCAGGGGCAGGCCGCTGCTGCTGCTGCTGTATATTTGGCTGCTTTTCAATTGATTAAGCTTTTAATTGACTGTAAACATTGTAATAGTACCGTACAACAGTAACTGCCCTGATACACAGTAGATTGCACTGTTTACACTATGTGAGCATGTGTGTGTGTTTGTCTTTGAGAGGAGATAAAGAGAGGGATCAAAACAGAGAAAGGCTGAGTGGCAGTTTTTTGACAAGTTGTGAAAAGCAATTTTGAATTCTGGGAAATGTTGTGAACATGTAAGACTGTAATGTCCCAAGTAGACTGACATTCAAATATTTTAATATTCTAGTTAGTAAAGTGGCAAGTGCACAAACATTTATCTCCAAGTCTGTTTTTTAAATTCCTTAAACCTTAGGCAACCAGCTAGTGTTAAATGTAACACTAATTTACTGAAAACAAAAATAGAGTTTTCCAGTCTCACTGAGGTACACCTCTGTTCCTTGTTTTCTGAGTGCACATCTGTCTTAAAATATCCTTCAGCTTACCATTAGGCGACTAATATAGAAATGTTGGCTCCAATTTACACAAATACACGTCACACACGTCCTATAGTAGTGAGACATGCAGATAGATAACAATTGTCAACAAGAATGTTGGCAACAAGAACGAGCCAGAAGAAGAAGATTATGTATTAATAATGTGCATACTCAGCCCAGTATCCCTAGGAATTACATCCCTATTGGATGGTTCCACATATTGCAATTCACATTCAGTGCCAATGCAGAAAGTGCATTTTCTATACCACTGTTTTGAAAATAAACTTCTAAGTAAGTTCAGTGTCAAAATAACGTCTTACTGACATACATTGTCTGTTTTTTGGAGAACATTGATTGCACATAGACGATCAATTCGTGAGATTTCATCCAGGACGTTGTTTTCATGGAGGATGAGGCAATTTGGAATATAATAGGTATTTGGCTAGTAAAATGGCAGATGTGGACAGTGGATTTAGTGCCTCGTTCACTGATCTCACTTGAAATTTTTCCCATTTTAGTGATGTAATCAAACAAAATCAAAATGACATGGCAGCTCAACAAGACTACCATGATAACCCATAGCCCATAGCCTGCAGTCTTTGCTAAAGCATAAAGTATTACAGATATTAAGAGTGGATAACTTATATTTAGTTGGACTGAAACATGTCTGAGCTATCACATGGGGTGCAGCATTTTCAAATAAGGCTGATGTGCTGGTGTCATCCAATAGCAATTCCCTAGGCCACTGTTTAAATCCCCTCTCTGGTAATAAATCACTTTCCCTTGACATGGCCCCTATTTTCAGTAAATGTTGTCCCAACCAGCATTAGCTTGCCAACATCCTTTGGCTTGTCCACATGTACAAAACCTATTACAAGTAGTCCACACTGGGAAATCCTTTAAACACGCAGCATTGGTCCTATTCAGCATTGAGAATAAGCAATAGAAGAATTAATAGGTCCTCATTACTCATCTTCCCTTAAGTTGTTTCCCAGGAATAAATAGTCCCAACTGTATAACTCCTGGCAGCATCTGGGAAGAAGACAAAGTAAATAAAAGTCCATTTGTGAAAACAAGCAGTCATGCTGATTCCCCAACATTAAACATGTATTATTATTTATTTATCAAAAGTTGAATCTGGATAAAAGTTTAATTAGATTTTGATTATCGTAGAAGAAAATAAGCAGGCCTGCCTTATCCAAAAAATGAAACACTAAGCAAGGCACAAATCCAAAACTGGCTAGCAGCCCTTAAGCAGACTGATATCCCTGGCCACTTTTCAGGTATGAGCATCTGTAAATGAATCAGGCAGGTGAAACAAACTGGTGTTGAGAGACAGCGAATGTACTTAAGTAACCTACCCCCGACAAATGAAGGCAAAACTGTTTATTAGTCACAGAGAAGGTGATTTTGGGTGTTAGCCCTGATCTCTGTCTCTACCAGAAATAGTTAACTTCTCGCCCACTGTGCTGTCCTTATTAGCCACTCCCTGTAGACATTTACGAGAGAGCCACCTCCTTCAGGCTAATTTTAGGCCGTCTGTACCAATGCCAACTCATTAGCCTGATTCCCAGTGCAAGCCAGGCCTTATTCATTATCAGCGTCACCTCACCCAAAGCAACACATCAATCTATACTTTTTGCCTCTTGGTTATCAATGGAGATAAGTTATCTTACATTATGGGCAGTAGTAAATTCAACATAATGCTGTCAATATTGATATAAGTTCTTTGTTTTGGGTCTATTGCGATACAGTATGGAAAAATATATATCTTCTGTAGGATATGGAAGTCATTCAGGCTTATCTCCCCTTTATGCTCTTAAAGGCTATATCAGAGCTTATTAGAGAGCCATTTAGAGCTGTTTATTTTATCCCATATGAACAAACAAGTGTAACCCTACCCACTGAGATACACCTACACCTGTGCTAGTGCTTGCAGGTCTTGGCGTAGAAAGGAGAAATGTGGCATTGCTTTAGCAATACTCTTGGAAGCCAGAATGTTTGTTTGTTTAATAGGTTGAATTTTTTGGCTGATGTATGACAGACTACAATAGCTATTTTTGTATCACTTTTACACTCCAAAAAGGGATACAAGGTAGTGCTGACAGTATTAATTGATTCATTCATGCATCAATTTAGACTGAACTGAAGTTAACTTTATTTGTTGCAGTCCCTCTCTGCATTGTACCAGCGTAGTGAACAGGGGTTTCTCACTTGACTAATAAGAACGTTTGAGGACAGGTCGGGTTTATATTTCACATACTACTGAACAAACACAGAGCCCAGTTCCTCCAAAGCGAGTCCAGCTGTCATTGTGTGCAGAAGTGAGAACCTTTGGCTACAAGCCCACCACAGTGATTTAGCTGTTAGTATGTTTATCTCTGAATGCGACTTGAGTTATTACTTTTCAAGCATGTGTTGGAAAGTCCCGAATCATTGTTGGCCATCTATTTCTGCTACAAGTTCCTTAATGAAAGAAGCAGGTAGAAGAATGACAGTGTAGGGTTTCTTTTCTAGAGGAACAAGGAAGACTTTTCTTCTTCTTTTTTCTGTTTGGATGATGAGTTGAATGAGACCTTTTATACCGTGAGATGAGATTACTTTAAACAGTCTGTTGCACATCCTGTTTAGTGCTGGACCAAAGTTCAGTTAAATATTATCACATTTAAAATTTCTGTGAAATAAGAATTGTAAAATGTGTAGATAGGAGTTTTATTTGAATAATTGAACTCAAGTATGTTGAAAGGTCATGCAAAGCATTAGGTTAAACATTACAAATCCGAAAGAGTTAACAAAGAGGGACTGGCAACATTTTAAATAGTTGCTTTTAGCATTAATATTGTTTGATCTGGCTTGAAATCTTTATTGCTTTTTAAGCTTTTTGTTGTTATTGTTTTTCTTTTTTAATTGATTGGCATATACTTTTTTTCCTTGAATGTATTTTAAGCACAATTTCCCAGCAGTGTGTGTGTGCAGGAGGAGATATTGATGTGGACAGTGGTGCTATGAGAAAGTGGAAAACTGATCAGTCCTAACTAAATCCATGGGGAGGCACAGGCTGGGTGATGGCCTGGGTAGATGCTTTATTTCCACAGCCTGCCTGTCTTTCACATTTGTGCACATGTA